AGTTCGTATATTTGGGATGTGTATTCAGCAGGGATGGGAGATATTATGATAAGGATATTGAACGACGAGTGAATGCAGGAAATAAAGTAAATGGGGCTCTACACTCTATTGTGAAAAGTCAGAATGTGTCAAAAAAGGCACGTATGGCAATTCACAGTGCTGTATTAGTCCCTACTTTAACGTATGGTAGTGAAAGTTGGGTGTGGCAGAAGAAGCACGAGAGTAGAATAAATGCAGTAGAAATGCGGTCGCTAAGGAGTATGTTAGGGCTGAATCTGAGTCACAGGGTGAGAAACTGTGTGATAAAAGAAGAGTGTGGTTTGCAAGATGATGCGGTGACCAGGATTAAGAAAGGAATGCTTCGGTGGTTTGGTCATGTAGAAAGAATGAATGCGGAAAGACTGACAAAGCAAATATATGTTGCAGAAGTGAATGGAAGAGTCGGAAAGGGACGTCCTAGGCGGAAGTTTGTCGACCAAATTGGCGATATACTAAAAATGGGCCAAATTAAGAGTACCCTTAACCGACGAGCATGTATGCGTAGGTATATGGATGTGGAAAGGTATGTCAGGATCGTGCTAAATGGAAGTCTGTAGTCTCTGCCTACCCCTCTGGGTGACAGGCGTGAGTGTTTATGTATGTTATACTTAAACGTTCGTTTGTGGTTCGGGATTCTTATATACCCTGATGATGCAGTGAGGCAAAACCGGTCGGTGTTATAATAAAATATAATAATAATTTTAAGTAAATGTTAGAAATCAAGTACAAGAGTTTACCCAAATCACAAAAATTAAGGTGAAGTTTCACCAAGTGACAGCAATCGCAAGTTATAGTTTTATTATAATTTGAAACATTTCTTCAATTGACCCTTACATTTACATTCAATTTTTAGTATTTGATGTTTCTACGTCAAAAATATTGTGATTGTTTTGCTCTAGTAAAAAATGCCTCGTATTAAGTACCTACACTGCACAATGAGCATATTTTATATTTTATTTATTTATAACAGGAAAACTAACATCTATTAATATACACAAGGTAAGCCTATTAAAAGTTTTCACAAATGGGTAATCGGCTAATCGGTTTAGTCAAATATGTACAACATATATAAGTAATTTAAGTTGCACGTTGATGTTAATTAGTGTATTACCACACCTATCGATCGACGTCGATCGATTGGTGTGGTAGCTTTGATTGATCAACGGATACTGGTCGATGAAACGTTGTTCAATCATTGGTCGATGTCGATCGTCGATCAATCGTTGTGGGCTCATCATCTATTTTCAAAATGTATTCAGAAGAGGACGCGTTATTGTTGCCAGTACACTCTTGCTCGTATTATTATTATGGAGGCGGCAACGGGTGACAATACGAAGCGGTCAGTGGAGCGGTGCGGGTTCTCGAATAATCAAGCGTCTCGATCAACGTCGACTAATCCATTACACCCTTATATTTAAGAATTCAAGTGTGTATTGTTACTGAACTTAGATGTTATCAACTAACATATAGTAGTACCACTTGTACAAAAACATTCAAGAATCAAATTCTCCCCAGGTTTAAATGGTACTCCTTAGATTTCGACGTTATTTACTTTGATTTTTGATCGAAACCACTGATCTTTTTCATTAATTTCTGCTTTCATCTTAATTATTTGTGTATAAAAAGCTGAGTAAAAAGAATAATATTTTTTGGTAATCATTTTCGAATATTTACAAAGCTGTAATTTTTTTACAATGCTATCAAGCTTTTCTAACATGTTGTTATTAGATTTTTGTAGGTCTGAAATACTGACTTCTTAAGTAGGCAATAATTGAAAGCTTCTGAAATTCGATCATAACATTATCAAGAATAAGTTGAAGTGCAATTTCTGAAAGTTGTGATCCAAGCCGGGTTGGTTCTTGAGTCGTCTTACAGGAAATACAGCGCTACGATGACTGTCCATACCCTAGTTTGCGATATCCAATTTCACTTAGACCAGAACACAGAATACCACCGTAAAATAGCAGCTCAATGTTGCTGTGTTACGTATGGTGAGTCTAGAGAACCAAAGATCCTTACTTAAAATGAGACATTCCATCGTAGTCCTCAGAGGTAGCAACGCATCGGCATTTTAAACCTTAATCGAGGATAGATGTTGATGTTTATGAGCCACGGCATCTTTGACTATCAGATGAAACTGTGTGCTCGTTTGTCATTCTTATCCTATAAAAAAAAGAGCGAATTATATGCGGCATTTCTTGGAAGGGACCTATGTTCATTCGGCGGTGGACTTGTGAAGGGCTGTAGTAATGATGATGATAATAATAGATGTTTTTTCCTTGTGAAATTTATGTATGTAAATTGCCCTCACGATACAGGAGAAAATCTTAGTCTTATAAAAACAAATAAAATAAGAATAACGTTTTAAAAAAAACAATCATTAATTAATGTGTAAAAACGTCGGTGATAATGGAGTTCATCAACGTAACAAGAAGACAGCTAAAAATACTCAGCCGCAACATCTGCGACTGACCTTCGCGCGGTTTTTATTTATCCACACGCTGCTGCACTGCGTTTGCTCTACCTTTTATCAGCTCCGAGCTCATAAATCACTCGTAATCCGCAATGAATTCACAATATCACATTAGACTATCTTTTACGAAGTGGGGAGGGTAATTTGACGTAATTAACGGAGTCGCAAATAGTCAAATGTAAAAGAATTTATGTGAACGATACACATGCAGTGCGCGCTTTAAGAGAACCCATCAAACATTTTTGTACCGTAAGAGCAGACAATGGGAAATGACAGAAAAGTATTCCGACGAGTGGCGCTTTAACCATCACCCTTATGCCAGACGTGATGGTTGGGGTTAGTGGTCTTCCATGGGGTCGTTTCTTCGAGCTACTCGTATATGGCCGGTCCATTTTTGGTAAAGCATATGTTCAGAAGTAGACTTTTAAAGGGCTCTAATGATGATAATGAAGAGGTAGTTCTACCCGAATACAAGCATTCAAATATATTTCTAACTTATTTATGTTTTCCCAATAACTATGTAATAGAGTTCGACATAAAGTTATAGTGTACATGGACGTTGGTCGCCTGCCAAGTGATGATATTTATTTTTTGACGCAAACTGTCTCCCGGCCTTAACAACACTTGTAACTGTATGCATGTGATATTTTTAAATAGTTATTGGATTATAGCTGCTGCACGAAAGGGTCGGCTCGACCGAGGATGGACCACGCTCGTAAAGAATGCCAACATTAAATAGCAGCTATATAATAGTTATATAATACACTGAGTCCGAGTAGCCGGAGACCCTTTTTACTGGTAACGAGGCAATCCATTTTAGATTTTAGTGGTTAAAATGTGTTTGTACTTTGTAACATTTTTTTTGCGAGAATAGAGATATGGGCCACAGCATCCGCTTACAATCAGGTGGATTGCCTGATAGTTTGTCAAAACATCTATAAAAAGCAACCATAAATTTAATGGTTTTGGTTTTGTTGCTCAATCAAAGCTATGCTAGCTGTCTTCTGGCTTTTCCAAATCGTATAGCATTACTATAAGTTTGCCATCGTCTTGTATTCCATTTTACAAAAAACAAAACCTAATATTAACGTGTTTTAAGTGTGTGTTTATTGTTTAACAAACATTAAATGACCATATCCAGGAAATAACTAAACAAGTGCAAACCGGTGCGGGTGAAACTGAAGGTACAACAAAATATGAGTTATACATATGATTATTATGAACGCTGTTATGCCAATAAACAGCATTAAGATGCACATGCCTGCATTTGAAACTGTTTTTAAATAGTAAAGTTACAGTTTATAAAAGCGTCTACTGGGAACAATGTTAGTGGTCATTACCTCATTTTACAGGGCTCTGGCGATTATATTTACGGGCATCTGATTGTACTCCAAATACTTTTAATTTTTCAGCCGTGCAAGTTTTCGCACGATATTTTTTTCAGCCTAGTGCGTGGTTAATTATAAAAGCAATTCCAATAAGGATTCTCAGTATAGGCTAGTTCAAAATTGTAATTAATGTTTAAAGATACTTTATTTCTCATTACGGACAAAGTCATTTACATGACAAAAGGGTAGGAATCAATTTTTTTTATTGTTCGCACTGCACAAAAACATAGACCTCTGTTATGATTTCAAAATGTACTGACCTAATTTGTTTTTATATACTTACAATAAATGAGTCATTTTTATAAAGATGCTTTATATCATTAAAACATTGTACTCCCTCGTATATAGAAATTCGTTTAACATAGTGTGTTCTAATCCTCAGCAGTGTATTATGCTGTGTAGCAGGGATGTTACGGATATGATATTTCGGATATGGATACGGATACGGATATGGGAATAATATTATATCGGTTTCGGTTTCGGTTACGGATATAAAATTATTTCGGATTATCCGTTAGTTTCGGATCGGATAAGATTTTTGAGGTATTTAAGTAAAATACAAATAAGTAGGTAATCATTTGGCTTTATATCTTGGTTATCATTTGGTATTACAATCAGTCATTTATTCAAGTAATTAACAATTTTATAAGAATAGTATACTAATTAATGTAGCTACCTACATATTTTTAAGTTATCTACTTAAAAATGCTATTACAAAATTATTATAATCAAAAACAATGCTATTAGTTTTTTTTTCTATTATATTCTTCAATATATTTCTAGGAACTATTACAACGCATAAATCAGTCTTCTTAAGTCTTTGCATATTGAAGAATAAAAACTAAAATCTGAACATAACATAACAAAATATTTACTTGTCTTTCACTTAATGATTTCTTTTAATAGTCGAAACTAAGCAAAGGTAAATTATACTTAACAAAAAGCAATTTCGCAGCCTTATCACCAGAAAGTCGATTTCTTAAGGGGTCATAAATTAACCCAGCTGCACTGAAAAGCTGCTCACTTGGTACACTTCCAGGAGGTGGAGAAAGGTACTGTCTTACTAAATCACTTAAGCAATGGTACTTGGTATGCATTTTCTACCATAAAAGTGGATCTTCATTGAGTGTCAATCGTTTCTCCCTGTTGTATTCATTTAGTAATGTCTTTTTAACAATAAATTGATTGTGCACATCATCACCACAATCTATGTTTTGCTCTTCCTCGTCACTTAAGCTTAATATTTCAGCTAGACAAGATTGAATGTGTGAATAGTTGCTTGAGCTTGTTGTCGGAATCTCATTCCGTGATCTCTTAGGTGAAGAAGGACCTTCATCACGAGAAGCTTTTGAACACCCAAGAATCCCCAGAATCTCAGACTGTACCTGTTCCTTCGTAATTTCAGTAAAAAACTTGAGTTTAAACCGTGGATCTAGATAAGTAGCTATTGTATATATTTTATTATTTTCAATATCCTGAAATCTGACATTGATGTCTTGGATCATTTTCGTAATCATTAATTTGAAGTTCTCAGAAGTCTCTTCTTTACTCTTCTCTGTTTCTAGTGTGTTTTTAAGAGTATATATTAATGGAATCACTGATGCTATTGTTGCAGTAGCACTACTTAACTCCTTTGTAATTTCTTCGAACGGCTTTAGTATTGCAACACACTTTTTCAAGTCGAGCCATTCATCAGCATTAAGAATTGGTATATCATGCGCGCCCGAATACAGTACTAAGGAGTCTTTTAATGTCAATATTCTTTTCATCATATAATACGTCGCGTTCCATCTGTGAAAAAAGAAAAAACAATGTCAAATCAAATAAAAAAAAATTACATAATAGATAGGTGTATAAAATAGAATAAAAAAATCTCACCGTGTGGAACATTCCTGAATTATACTTAGTCCTGATTGGTTCAGTCTTTCTGTTTGAATTTGTTTCAATTCATTTTGCGCGATTAGGGAGTGATTGAAGTGAGTTGCAATTTTCTTGCACTTCGTAATTACTGACGAGAGAAATTCTTCGATTTCCATCGTTGATCGCACACATAATTGTAGTTGATGAATAGTACAGTTTGCATCAGTGAAATTGGCCATATTCATAGCTTTTATCATATTAGATCCTCTGTCGCGTAAAATACAATGAACTGATTCCGTGCTTAAGCCCCAATCTTTCAAAATATTGTTTAAATTATTTGCTATAATTTCACCTGTGTGCCGACCCTCTAATTGTTCACACTTGAGTATTATAGAAACTCTTTCATATTTATTGGTGATGCCATGAGCAGTAAGACTAAGTAACGATACATTTGAGCTGGGCTCTGACCACACATCTGTAGTAAATGACAACTTTTCAAATTGCTTAAGTAATCCCAGCACCTTTAATTTAATTTTATTGTATATATCAGTACACAGCAAATTAGTAAAATACTGCCGACCTCTTAGATGATAGCGTGGTAATGCTGCCTGCATTAATCTTTGGAAGCCGACACCTTCCACAAAGTTAAATGACAAGTTTTGTAATGCAATCATTTCAGCTACTAATTTATCAATTTCTTTTTGCTTGACATTACTTTCATCCCAGGCGCCTTTATTTTTTAAAGAATCTGTTATTGACAGCTGTTTTTTACACTCTTGTAATGGTGTCAGCTGTTTCGTGGTATGTGGTATTTGTTGGATATCTTTTTCTAGTAACAAAAGTTCTTCGTACTTATCACCGTGTTTTGATTTAAGATGAAGTTTAAGCGAAGTAGTGCCACCTCCTTTTCGTGAAAAGGTTTTATCACACTGTTTACATTTTGCGGAATCTGCATTAACTTGATTAAAAAATCTCCAAATTAAACTAGACTTAGGTCGCATTTGGTCCAGATTAGGTAAACAATTTAATAACACAACACTTTTCTTTCACTTCGTCGAACTAAACTAATTACTCGTACCTAAATATAAAACTGACTGACGGGACTTATGTATGACTGCAACATAAATAATAAACAAACAATGCAAGAGTAAGAGACACGCGCCGCTAATGTAAAAAAAGAAACCTGTTATAACTTATAACAAGTCTCATTTAGACTCAGCCCCTACCCTTATCCGAAATTATCCGAAACTTTTATATCGGATTCGGTTACGGTTACGAATAGTTTTTTATTTCGGATATCCGATAGTTTCGGTTACGGTTACGGAGCTCCATAACATCCCTGCTGTGTAGTATAGTTTTGTAGTAATTTGAGCGAGTAGGATTGATATGAATTAACAAAATACTACTATGCGATCAAATAACAATACACTACACTATGTTATTAGTACATCAGCATTATTTACGAACTACTGAACTACTACTAAATATAATTTTAAGTAAACTACTGAAATGTACATTTTGTTCCTTGATACTTGGCTATCAGATGAAGTGGGGGGTATGATATAATAAATTAATAGGTAAGGGGTATAGTATAGCTGCAGCCCGAATGTGTCCGTCCAGTCGACTGAGGAAATAACAGCAAGACTAATCCATAATGCTACTGTGTTCCTGCTGAGGAGTTCAATCTAAGCTTTTAGGGGTGATAACGCATCTGTATTTCGATTCTTAATCGAGGATAGATGCAGATAATTGGGGCTACAGCATCTACTTACCATAGGATGGATTGTGTTTTGTTACATTTGGTCTAAAATATTAATAATAGTAATAAATGTATTATACTCGTATTTCTTTCCAGGTAAGGCATTTTGGCTTTGAGCATTGGTGTTATTGTGAGTATTCCTTTATTTTGTGTTATAGGAACACAAAATAAAGGAATATTACTCGCTTTTAGTTAAAAGCTGAATTATTTATTACTGGTATTAACCAAATGTTGCAGAAGCACGAATTTCTAGCGCGAACGAACTAAAGACTTTGTGGAGATTCGGAAAGTGTAAACTCTATAGTAACTAATTTTAGAAAATCTTTAGTGTTTAAAGGAATATTTACCGAACCTTAATTTTCATCATCATCAAATATATTACATATAAATAAAATGGAAGTGTCTGTCTGATAGCGAAGTAACCGACTTTTATTTAGCTTATGGGAATGTTAGTCATTTTGAACATAACTTGTCTGTCTGTCTGTGTGCCAGTTTGTCCATGCTAATCTTCGAAATAGTTGAGCGTCGGTTGAATTTTCGGGAAAATTTTAAAAATTATTAAATAATGTATGATTATTATCTTAAATGTTATCTAGGCGAAACCGGGGCGGGTCGCTATTCTAAAATTTTTGTCAATAGAGGCCACATCTATATTTTTTTACAATTCTACATTCTGATATTTTTTCGATAACGAATGTGTATTTGAGCCGACTTAAAAAAATCAATCGATTGTATTTTTTGTTTGTATGTTACGCGATAATTTCGTCAGTTGTGAAAGGTTTAGGATAGTTCTTTTGATTGAATATATTATTCTTCTTCTTTTACGTGGTAGAGCCACGCTGCAGCTATATTAATTGGTTGTAGCACGAATGGGTCGGCTCGACCGGGGAAGGACCACGCTCTCACAGAATAACCAAATAACTATGTAAAATAAATAGCAGCTTAATCCTGTTGTGTTTCGTATGCTGATTGTAAAGAATCGGAGATACTTTTTACTGGAAACGAGGTATTTCAAAGCTGATTCTCATCATCTGCATTTTGATTCTTAATTGAAGATAAATTTAGATGTCTATGGGCTACAGCAACCACTTATTATCAGGTCATTCTTCACCCTTATTCTATAAAAATAACTTGAGGGGTTTTCGAATATAAATTTTTACAGTTCTAATTGTTAACTATGCAAATTCTTCTTGCCTAAAAAGTAGATATCTTCTGTATTGTTATAAGGAAATGTTCGCATCACATTCGATGGTGTAAATTGCCTCTATCATACAGTCGCGTTGCCCCAAAGTCAAGTGCATGAAGCCAATCGATGGGGGTCAAGGTCTCGCCGCAGTCGCTGACTGGTGCTCCAATGTGGCGCGATTGAGATTATGTAACCCGATATGATACCATATGGAGTACATAATATTTACGCCATATTTATTCTTTATAACCATTACCATACTATTATAGTCCATCAAAAATTATAGCGAGGTAACTTTGGCAAATATCCCCTATATTTGCCAAAGTTGCCACGCTTGACAAGTGGATTAGCAAGCGCAGTTCTTTTATCAGCTGTTATCGAAAAGATTCTGCTACTCATGTCGTGGTTATCAGTTATTTTTAACATTTATTTGTTTTTGTTTTTTCGCTTCTCATCGCTCTCCTATGAGGCAATCTATTGGAGAGGCCTACAAGGCCTGTAGGAGGGTGGTGTACTATTCATTGTATTGTAAGAAGGGGAGTCTGACTGACGACTGGAAACGTCAAAAGTTAGACACGTCTAGTACTGAGCACGAAGATTATGGTAAATTCTCCCTATTATGGAAGAAGCTCGAGCCCAACTGTGGACTTTTAAAGAATACTGGGAGTGCTGGGATGTTAGTTGTGTGACCCCCCATTAACATGATTAAGCCTAATAATTCAATTCAATTTACCGCAGCTGCATGTAGAAACTCAGTGACGAGAGAGCGCGACGAGGGTTTCGGCGTCGTGAAAAACACGTTGTCGTGTACAGTGTCCTATGTGGCAATTGGATTTAACTTTTATTTACTAGCTTTCATGTATATGTCTATTCAGGTCGAATTTAATAGTTGATTTTATACTGTCTTCCCGATGAGAGAGGCTTGAAAATTTGAAGATCGAATGACAATATAAAAATAAAAATAAGGTGGCACATTAAAAAAATTAAAAACGCTAAATATATTGCGTTAGATTGGTAGATGTTTCTCAAACTTGTTTTTACTTATAGATCGGAGTCTGTATTTGATATTAATTATTTTGTAAACATCAATCAGTAATCTACTGATGCAAAACCATCCATCATGCTTATTAAGTTGTAAACTTTTTGAGCAATAGTTTGTAAGCACTTACATAATTTCGTTTGAGACCAGATCACACCAAATGCGTGAAAAACGTGTGCATCTGTTAGTGATCGTGTAGCTTCTGAACGACTTGACCGATTGAGCTCATATTCACCCTTAGAGAATATATTAGCAAGCTAGTTGGCTTACGTACACACTAAGTATTCGCACATTTTATTTGATTTGTCGTGACGATGGTTTTATATATATATATATATATATATATATATATATATATATATATATATATATATATATATATATATATATATGCGACGCTAGGGTTCAATAGATGGCGCTGTAGTCAAGTTATTAAGCAATTTTACTTTTAATGTCCAAAAGAACTAAAAATATATACACAATATAAGTTGGTTTATGTATACACATTCCCTATTCGCAATACGCTATAAAATAACAGTTCTTTGTACAAAAGTCTCGTTTCCAGAGCGATAAAACCGCCTGTTGTTCTTTCTATATGTGTATGAAATATATTTTGGCTCACAACAATAAAGAATATCTTGATTGATTGCTTTAGTGCTAAAATATAAAACCATAATACTGGGACATATATATATATATATATATATATATATATATATATATATATATATATATATATAGGTGGCATTGTGGTCGACTTATTAATAAGTTTAATAACTACACTGTAAAAAGTCTAGAGTTAATACAGAGTGAAACTCATTATATAATCTAATAGGGTTATGTAAATTCACAACTATTTTATTTTTATGTCAATAAACTGTACAATAAATTCAAACAGTAAGGCCTTTGTTTTATCTAAAAATAGTCCATAATAACAGGTACCTGAACCACGATAAACCTGTATCCTTTATATTATCAGGTGTATGTGCTAATAGATACACAAACAAATATTTTAAATTTCTTATAGAAAAATGATTAACATACCAACTAATTATTAGGGTAGGTTTTGTATTTTACAATCATTTTAACTTAATTTATAATCATAAATTAACTTAAAACAATCAGCGACGTTTCTGATGATACAGATATGTGACAAATTTTGTAACCATGTTCGAATTAAATTTTTACAATCTGGTTGCAAAGATGTGTAATGTATGTGAATATAGCAGCCAATCTAATTCTATTGCGGATTCTAAAGTAATTGGCGACGTGTTTCATCTCGAAAACATTAGAAAAATTCAGACATTCAGAAAAATGTTCGGAAATAGAAGAGATATGTTTTAGAGTGATAATAATTAGTTAGTTGTGTTGTTGTCTACGGTTCTCTGTCAAAAATACACTCGTGGCCGGCCTTGTGGAAGTTGCACAAGTCTGCTATTTTTGTTGCACCAGCCTGGAGTGGATGCACAATGACGTGCTCCACTTTGATGACACTGAAGAGATTAGGTTACCAAATTTTGTTATACCAATTTTTTTTGTTCGCCGATTGTCGTGGGACTTCTCGAACAGTTGAAGAACAATGCCAGGAGTGGGTTCTAGGATCAAGGCTATGTTTTATTTGAAAAACGTGCAGATTTTTTGGTAAAATCCAAATCAATATGAAAATGGTTTCTGATGAATATATCTAAAAAAGTATCGAACAATTTCTTTTTGCTTGCAATTATACGCATTTTTATACTTTTTTTTTAATTTCATCACCATTTTATAACAAACATTTGGAGCTAGGGATAAAATGTTTAGTTTTTTATTTCGTAAAATTATATTATTAATAGATCTTTAACTTTATTTGAAATATTTGGCATTATGCTTATAGTTTTCGAGAGATATAGCAAAAAGGCGCGTATAAATGGGTTTTTCGTTGTAACAAAGATCATATACCAAAGCCCACTAATATAACTGCAGGTTTTTTTTTGTTTAAGTTTGACGCGAAAGTCACGGGTAAAAACTAGTCGGTATA